GGGGGCGACAGAGGGGCTGCGGGGTGGAGGGACACAGGATATCGCGATAGAGAGGGACGGGGGTGGAGGGAGAGCGGATATCGCGATAGAGAGGGATGGGAAGTGGCGATAGAGGGGGAGCGTTGGGGGGGGATTTTGGGAGGTTCCCCCCCACCCAGTTCTGGGAGATTTGGGGGGCATTTGGGGAGGGTCCCCCCCCCGGATTTGGGGAGGCCCAGCCCTGGATTTGGGGGGGATATTCAGGGAGGTCGTCCCCCCCCCCCCCCGTGGTATTTGGGGGGGATTTTGGGGGTTCCCTCCCCGTTCTGCGGGACCTGGGGGGAGGGGAGTCTCCCCCCATCCTTTGGAATTTGGGGGGAGTTCCCCGCGTTCTTTGGGATTCAGGGAAGTTCCCCCATCCTGTGGGATTCAGGAGGGGTCTCCCCCCCATCCATGGGGGTTCGGGGAAGGTGCCCCCAACCCCTGAGGGATTCAGGCAGGGTCCCCCCATTCTTTGGGATTCAGGCAGGGTCCCCCCATCCTTTGGGGTTCAGGGAAGGTACCCCCACCTCCTGAGGGATTCATGGGTGGTCTCCCCCCATTCTTTGGGATCCAGGGAGGGTCCCCCCACCCCCTTATCCTTTGGGATTCATGTTGGGGTCTCCTCACATCCTTTGGAATTCAGGGAAGCTGAAACCCCCCTTTCTTTCCCCCCCCAGAGGGTGGTGCTGACCCCTCCCTAAATCCCCTTTTCCCCCCCCCAGAGGGTGGTGCTGACCCGTCCCTGAACGCTGCCCTGGCTCAGGTGGTGGAGCAGTGCCGGGCCCACAACATGCCCAAGGCCAACATCGAGGCCGCCCTGCGCAGCGCCGTAGGTTCTGGGGGGGTCCCAGGGGGGTTTTGGGGGTCTCCCAAGCCCCCCAAACCCTGACCTGCCCCTCCAAACCCCCAGGAGCGCTCGGGAGGGGGGTCCCGGGTGCTGCTGGAGGCTCGAGGCCCGGGGGGCTCCGCGCTGCTGCTCGAGGTGCTCACGGACAACCCCCGGCGCTCCCAGCAGGAATTGAGGCTCATCCTCACCAGGAACGGGTGGGTGGGACACCCCTGGGATCCTTTGGGGTGGGTGGGGGGCACCCAGGGACCACCAGGGATCTGTGGGAGGGGTCCCAGGGGTGTGGAACCAGTGGGAATTGAGGCTCATCCTCACCAGGAACGGGTGGGTGGGAACCCCCTGGGATCCTTGGGGTGGGTTGGGGGCACCCTGGGACCCCCAGGGATGGGTGAGGGTCCCCCAGGAGGGGTGAGAGACTCCCAGGGGCTCCCAGGGATGGGTGAAGGGACCCCCAGGGAGGGGTGAGGGACCCCCAGGGATGAGTCAGGGACCCCCAGGGACCCCCAGGGATGGGTCAGGGACCCCCAGGGATGGGTGAAGGGACCCCCAGGAGGGGTGAGGGACCCCCAGGGATGGGTCAGGGACCCCCAGGGGACCCCCAGGGATGGGTCAGTGGGACCCCCAGGGACCCCCAGGGATGGGTGGGGGACCCCCAAGAGGGGTGAGGGACCCTCAGGGTACCCCAGCTCTGGATGAGGGTCCCACCCAATGCCCTGGGGGGGGGGTGTGGGGGTTCCCTCAGGGGGTCTCTGTCCGAGGGGGCCCGTCACGGCTTCGAGCCCACGGGGGTGGTCCGCGTGGCCCCCCGGGACGGGCGTGGCCAGGGCGTGTCCATGGAGGCGGCGCTGGAGGCGGCGCTGGCGGCCGGAGCCCAGGACGTGGCCCCCGACGACGACGACGACGGCGACGAGCCGGCGCTCAAGGTGGGCTGGGGGGGGTCTGGGGAGGGGTCTGGGGGGGGTTTAGGGGGGTCTGGGGGGTCCCCACGGCGCCCTGGGGGGGTTTGGGGACGTCCGGGGACGTCACCGGGGCGGCCACGACTGGGCTTGGGCGCTCGTTGAGCGGCTCCGTTGACCCTTGGCCAACTCTTGGCCAATCCCTGATGGCCAATGACTCCCCCCCCAATGACTGTTGGCCAACCCTTGACCACCCCAATGACCCTTGACCATCCCAATGACCTTTAACCACCTTCAATGACCACTGACCACCCCAATGACCATTGGCCAACCCTTGACCACCCCAATGACCACTGACCATCCTTTGACCACCCCAATGACCCTTGACCACCTCAGTGACCTTTGACCACCCCCAACCACCCTTGGCCAATCCTTGACCACCCCCAATGACCCCAGACCATCTCCAATGACCCTTGACCACCACTTGACCCTCCCCAACCACCCCTGGCCCTCCCCAACAGCCCTTGGCCAACCCCAACAACCGTTGGCCATCCCCAAGGACCCTTGACCACCTTTATTGACCCTTGACCATCCTCAGTGACCCCTGACCAAGTCTTGACCCACCTCCAATGACCCTTGACCATCCCTATTGACCACTGACCATCTCCAACAACTCTTGGTCACGCCAATGACCCTTGACCATCCCAATGACCCCTGACCCTCCCCAATGACCCCTGACCACCCCCAATGACCGTTGACCACCCCAATGACCCCCAACCCTCCCCAACGGCCCCTGACCCTCCCCAATGACCCCTGACCACCCCAATGACCCCCGACCCTCCCCAACGGCCCCTGACCACCCCT